ATCGACTCTGCGGGGAATTGTCGAGTATTTCATTTTCATATTTTTTTTTTGTCCGAGGGTTGTTTACACAAGTCGATCGTTTTCCCGACTGGCTCGGAGCAGACATGATCAGACACGCACTTCGCTCATCCCGAGGTGCGATCTATGTAACGGGTTGTTTTTTTTAATGTGAAGGATAACCAGAACATAATTCATGTCTGTATTCAATAATTTAAGAAAATTCAGTCACATTTGCCACCATAAATTATTTTCCTTTGAATATGAAGATGCATGGTATCTAATATGCGCTCGGGCGGGCGTGCTTTCGAGCGTTGGAAATCAATTAAGCAAGACCACAAAACCTGCAAGGTAGATTTTGGTGCAATTTACGAAATTGACCGTTCGGTTCCGCACAACGTACGTTGCATCGTCTCGCCTTTTCTATCATGCATATGTTTCCCCCTATTTCAGGTAATGACACGATCGATAGTGATAGCCATTAGCATAATGCATTATTAAAGGGGCATTTACAGCCTGAAATCCCCGAAAATGTTAAGATGGATTTTTGATACTTATCCTATTTAAAAGGTCTGGTTGACAGGAAACTAAAAATGTCTAACATACCGTTCCCGAGAATAGACGACAAAAGCCGGTTGTTTATAATTCATCGGACGCAGCGGACATTTTGTGGCATACGCGTACCTATTTCAAGCCGTGTCCATTCAATGTACGCTACACGTTGTGTTTGTGCGTCACAAAATACACACAGCACCAATGCACAAAATGTTGTTTTTCGCACGTCCGCAGAATGCGATATGCTTCATTTTGTGCGGCAGGATTAGCACTCAACAGCTCGATTTTTGAGAGTCAAAATTAATGTGATCCCCGAAATCCGCTCTCACGTGGTTCTCGCAAGAATAACACAAAAACGACCAGTTTTTGAAAGGATGGTTGTGTGGACGTTTATATCCTACTTTTATATGTATTCTTCCTAATTAACATTATTTCGTTTCAAATTGGCCGCATTCGGATGTAATATCCCTTTAACGTTAGCGGGAATTTGAGGCGGACCGAGACGGTACGTACACCAGACTGCTTATGTATATGCATTCCTTATGCTTGAAAAATTCCCCCTTATAAACATAACCACCTGCACGCCAGTCGTGATAAAAAAAAAGAAGTAAAGAAGTAGTGTAGTGGGTAATACTCTGCAATTATAAAAACGAATGCCCTTTGACCTTTGAGCAAAGCCGCCGCGTGCAAATTAATGCTCGGCTACGGCCAGCAGTTGTGTGGATTCAGCCGCTTCAACAGGCGCATGTGTATTGCTGACCCGGCGTAGCCATATCCATTATGTAATTTGGACGCAGCCTGAGAGACCGAGGAACACGTTCATTGACACGCTAAAATCGCTCTAATACAGCGTGACCTCAAACAAATTGTGCAAGCAGATATCGTTAAATTTCTCCAAATGTACCTGACATGAGTATTTCATTTTGATGGAGCACATTAATTATACTCTTGTGTATAATCAGTGGAAATGACATGAAAACCCATTCATGCAAACCAGAGCTGTAACAGATTATAAAAGAATATGTGTTTTTCAACCATTCCATTGGGAATTACACATTGCATGGGAAATTGCTCAACCGGCACTCTGCAATGGGTCTTTTCATTAGTCTGTAAATCACACTGGATCGGGTGAAAGAGACATTACCATGTTTAACTTAGTCTGTTAGCATATATGTATCTCTGGTTTGCATGAATGGATTTTAATAAAATTTTGCTGTGATTATACACAAGAAAACAAACGATATACTCTTAGGCCTAACTAAGATTTTTTTGTTAACAAAATAACTGTAGAGATAGGTTTTAGCAGGGTTCAATGTCGTTGGGTGCTATCGTCTTGAACGCCCTGTGCGTTAGCAAGGGAATTTCACGGTAAGCAGAAATTAACCCCCAGTGGCATTCGTTACAACCCTCCCGGGGAAGTCTCCCGCTGTTACCCCTCAAATCCGATTTAGCTTGTTGTATAACGACATCAACTGCACGGGAAAAAAACGTACAGAGGCCAGATCGATCGAAATTCCAAATTGAGGGTTTCTAGTGTTACGATAGCGCGGAGTGACAGAAGACGAAGACTAATTGCAACGCGCAGGTCAAGGGAGGAATCGTCTATGGGTGGAAGTAGACCAGACGATCGAGTATGTAGTACCACGGGAAATTAAAAGGAATCGTAAACATCGAAATGTCATCCGATGCGGGCGCAACATTAGTTATTAATAATTTCTGTCAGCGCTCAGTGTGTAGAGTTTGGCAAATAGAGGTGCAGTAATTTTATGTGGTTGTGAGAGAGTGCAAAGTCTGATGGCCTACTCCGTGCCCACACAATATTGCAGTAATTCAAATAAGGAATGAGTGATATAGGCCATTATCATGTTTTCCTTCTTCAAATCAATGTAACCAAAGCGAGGCTGGAAGGAAAAAATAGTCTGGTTCCTCTTTGCACAAAAAATGTCATTCAGTATTGTTATTGGATACAGGGAACGTGACTGATATGGTGGCAGCATGATAAAGATATCTCATAAAGGGTAAGGCGATCATTATAACCTTATACATTATGTAGGGACAATGCCTAAGCATTTAGTACATGTTCTAAATAATGGAGTACCATCAATGTAAATGGATGGCAGGCCATCAAGAGAAGAAATTATGGCTTTATGAAAAACAAACATGATGGTTTTGCTGGCATTATCAGACAATTTGTTGGCTTTAAACCAGGAACACACCTTGATTAGTCTGCAATGAGGATAAGAATCAAGGATTGAAAGTTAGAAGTAGAAGTGTCTCCTGCGAACAACAGAAAAGAAAGCAAATTAAGAAGAAGAATTATTCAGATCATACAGCAAAGAGAGAAGAACGCCAAGTATGGATCCTTGAGGTAGGGTATGCGTCACGGTCACTTCAGCATAGAAATTGCCTTGTGGAGACCTTTACAATCTTTCGTTCCCTATTGTACGCACGTCTCCATAAGGAAGGCCTATCCGAACGTGTGGTTTATTATGCAAATGCTGCAGCCGGATGCTGTGTCTCAGAGTCTTGATGTAATTTGTGAGCCAGGCCAGCTGTGGTAATTTGTGACCACACTGCCACCATGAGTTCTGTGTATAGCCTTAAAACAAATTAGGTCTCGCGAGATCATGGTCCGCGCCCTTTATGACGCTATAAAGTTAGCCACCGCTAGAGGGCGCTGTTGGTAACGCAGTTCCGCCCATAGTTCTTTTTGTCTATGGTTCCGCCGCTAATTAAGTCTTGACAAAGGCTTTTTAGAGGACGGCTTTTGACTTAGCTTATCTGCCACAATTGTCACTGCATATTCTTGTAACGTTAGGCTAAATAGACATTCCGGAACGGTGAGGAAAGACATGCTGTCTATTTCAATAAGTTTTGCTATTCACATTGGAAACTACGTCTTGTACCTGTTTTTTTTTCAACATTATGTGAAGGTCTTCCACCTTTTTGCCTCGTAATAATGTCACGGTTGATATGCGTTACACTACGTTTTACCCTTTACGCATTCGTATGCTCGAAAGCCCCCGGGCCGTGCACTGGACTCTGGATTAGGCCAGTCAGATTGCATTGAAACCTCGGTAGACTGTTTGAGGCGAGGCAATAATGGTGTAGATCTAGATGCCTCCATACGTGCCCCGCATGATTCCCAGAAAAGCGCGTGGGAGATATCAAATCTTTGCCACCTGCATGCAACGCGCGGCCAGCTGGCCGTGCGCAAGCCATCAAGCGGAAAGCGTAACAAAGTTACACTCGAAGTGGTGCGAAATGCAAGATTGTTGCTTTCTCGCCAAAAGCTGACCATTCCGAAGTTTCCTATCTTATTCAGGGGTGGGGATAAGTTGCAAAAGATCGGGCATACGCGTAGTTCTTTGAAACTTTTGAAGTGCATTCTTATGAATGAAAGGTTTGCGGAAACACCATGTGGGAATAATTTCTCAGACAAAGTGAATGGTTCCGAAAAGAACCAGAGGTATTAAACTCGACGTTCCGGTCAGTATATGCTCTGACCGTCTTCAGGAGAGTGCTACATCTTGCATTCTCCTGAAGACGGTCGGAGCATACTGACCGGAATGTCGAGTTTATACCTCTGGTTCTTTTCAGAACCATTCTCTTAGTTGAGAAATTATTCGCACATGGTGTTTCCGCAAACCTTTCATTGATTAGTATCTCCACCGTGCAAAGCCTGAAATCTTACTTAAGTGCATTCTTATCATGCCAATTAATCCTTAACTTTGTTATTTTAAAAATCAAATGAAATCTACGAGGTCAAAAAAGGCGAAGACTCGAGAATTCATGTGCCTCCATTGTTGGTGTAAGTAAGGGAAGGGCATGTACCTATAAGTTTGGTGACCAAACTGTAGAGTGATATTCTTGATGACAATTAAAAAATTGGTGTCTTAAAATGATATGAACATGCATGATAACCGAAAAATATACCATTAGAAACACATTCCCATAGACTTGTGCACAAATAATTAATCCGACTTTCCTGACCCCTAGGACCCCCAATTTCTCTTATCCTACCGGGCCCCACGAATTCGGTAATTTTACTAATGGACCATGAGTAATTGATCTAGCCTATTTGTGACCATAAAATTTTGCCTCTTAATAGGAGCTGGGTCATTAGGGAGACATTGAAACGTATCCATAATTCCACATGTCTTCCAAAGCTAAACCTCCTATGCTAAAGAGTCTCCCAAATGGTAATTTACGGTAATAAGTATTACCAAAAGCAGACTTGATCGTTATTATTATGTTCTTCAATTAGGTTTTGCCCTTCACCGACGTATAAACACTGTGTACTCAGTGTGTTATTACCTCCTGAGTATACAGTGAAGGGCAAAACCTAATATGATTTACATCACCCCGACAAAATTCCATCTTATGAATAATTCTTATGTTGTGAAAAAATATTGAACTGACCGTTTTCCCGGGTTTCGTTTCAGGTGAAACACTCTTCGTCTACGGTGGACATCAACTATTGACATGGCGCCCTCTGGACGTATATTTCTCTTCATCGTGCTCGTACTGGTGATACACCTGACCGAACCAAGTGAGTGGCCAATCATGACGTAACGTACCATGACGTCACAAATGACGTCACGCCACTGAGACATTGGACTAACCAGTGAAAGCAAAACTTTGCACTCGTACCTTCAACCGTCTACCGACAAAAGTCTTGCGCGACGATTGATCACTGAAACCAGTTTGACCTGTGGTCAAATGCTTGCTTGGTACTCCATCTTTCATGGAACCAACGAAATAATGTAGTTTAAGGGTCCAGACCAGTGATAAGCCTGCCATAGACCTTAGTGGTAATTACGCGCACTTCCAAAAAATTTAAACTATTCACAACTCTCTGAGGTGTTCAGGGCATGCATCAAATTAAAGCTTATTTCATTATTTGTCATTTCTGTTCAATTTTCTGGGAGTAAACTAATGACTTTTGGAAGAAAATTCTATCCAAAGATGATCACCCCTAAAAGCAGTCCTGAAGCCCATTGCCATTTTGAAAATGGACGCGTACGCTCCATTGCAAAATAGTGCCATGTAAAGGTGCCTAATTTCATCAAAATTTCAAATAAATACGAGCTCGCAGTCCTCTGCACGGCTTCAAACTTCTTCTTTTTTTTTTACAAATCCTCAGGTTTACGGCCCTCAAAATGCTCTTAAACTGGAGAATTTGAGGGCATGCAAATCGTGATTAGGCCGGCGTAGGCAATTTCGGACCGATTTACCGACCTGCACCCTTTAACACCGTCTTCAGGGCCCAATTTCATAGCGCTGGGCCCGCTGCTTAACAGCCGACTTTGTGCTTACCAAGCCTCCATCTATTTCATAGGGACCGTTAAGCAGTATAAGCACAGCAAAAGCAGGCTTAACCTCAGAAGAAAACATTGCTTAAATCAGTGACGTAACAATAGAAATCTCCATGCGCGCGCAACTGTAAGCACAATCACGGCATGAAACAGTGCTTAAGCAGCAGCATGATTTTCTGCTATAGTAAGCACAACTTTTCTGCTTACTGTTAAGCAGTGCTATGAAATTGGGCCCTGAAATAAGATCATGGCTTTGCATGGTGGAGATGTCAAACCTACCATTCACTGCCCTTGTAATGATTTCTTGTCCCTGTAATAACAGAGGATGGTTACAGTGCATTTGCCCGATCAAGAAGTCGGCGGTCATCAACGAGACGGACGACATACTACCGTTCCCACACCACCTATAGCTATACTGGCTACGGCAGTTCTGGCGGATACGGCACAGGTATGGGCATAGAAGTTTTTACTTGAAATCGCTGTGTCCCAATGTCTGCATGAGACCCGTTTCCGCAATGGCAATTGACGAATTTTTGCCGAAGTATGGACGGGTTTGTCCAATTCTTTTATATGCAATCAGCTGCCAACATGAGACTTGAAATTTGCAATAAACTTGTTACAATGTTAAAAAATATACATCTGTATTCTTCTTCTCGTGATAATCTCGGGTTGCATTATTGTTCACCAACTTTCTTAATGTCGTATTGAAGATTTAACGGAGTTTAATTCGAGTCAATGGGGATAAACATTGGAAAAGGAACACCTTTATTGGGTGTCACTTGACTTATCGATGTGACTGATTTCTGATAGTGAAAACTGTAATACAACTGCGCGTGAGACGTTAGGGTCATCATTTCGTTCTGATTGTGAGGGTCCCTTGAATATTTGTTTGCAAGTTCGCTACGTGATAGACCGACATTTGTTTTAGTGGGCAACTACTTCACAACAATTACATTCTCACACCAGTTCCTTCTTTCTCTCTTTCTCTCTCTCTCCACCCAAGGCCTGACCTGGTGGCAGATTTGCCTCATCATAGGTGGCATCCTCTTTGGCTTTCTCGTCTTGTACTGCAGCATCCGAGCCTGCAGGCGGCTGGAACCAGAGTCGGACACGCCGGGCATCCACACCACACGGGACCAGATCCAGCTGCGAGACCACCAGATCATCCAGCACTCCCCAACTACCAACTACCAACCAATTCCCTGCTCGGACGGCCGCGAAATCCCGCCCCCACCGGTCATCATGCACAATCAGCCCGCCCCGGCCCCGTACGGAGTACAGCCGCAGCTGCAGCAGCTGCCGGGGCCGATGGCAACAGCGCCCCCACCGTGCTACGACGACGCGCTGGATATCGCCGAGGAGCCGATCGCTGAGGGCGCTGTCGATCGGTGGGAAGACCAGCCCGAGGTCAACAGAAAAGACTTTGGAGTGATCTAATCATTCTGGACACGCTTCAGACTGTAGAATAGTACTAGATTCACCATCAGTGTTTATCAGTACTCAAAGGAATTGAACAAGTTATATCCTATGGGCCTTGTGCACGGGTTTGCCATTTTTGTCGACTTCCCTGAATGTATTTCATAAATTTTTAACTGTTGAATAAGAAGGCGCCAGACTATTTATGCAGCCTTATTTTACTGGTTTTTTTTAATCTGGCTTAAAACATTAGGGAATGTAGTTTCAAATTTTAAATTATTCATTGAAGCTGACTCGAATTAATTAGTAATCTACTTGCTTTCATTTCTCTTCGCAAGTTCCAGAAAAATGAAGATTTTACCTCACTTTCAATTCAATATGGCCGACTTGTGCATAAGGTCAAGGCCCATGATCATTCCCATGAGGCACTGGATCATCTAGAGTAATATACCTCACCACGCTTCGCGAGGTTACCACGAGGCGCATATTATATACACATGAAGTTCACCACTGATCTTCATTGTAGGCCTAACGAAACCAATGTCTCTCACATGCAGATGTTGAAATTTCTCACATCGCACCTTACGCACGGAGACGATAACTGTCCAGTTTCCATGTACGCAAAGTGAAAATTAATGTTGCACATGACGTCACCGAACTGCACCAGTCTAAAATTGTCCTTGTCGCGATTGGTTTCGGCTTTTTTTTGACACATGTAAAAATAAAAAGGTCGGTTCATATTCGGCATGCAAGGAACGACGCAAACGCAACTTCGCAAAAGTTGATCACATATCAACTCCGGCGACTTTCTGCGAGTGTTTACGTCAAATTCGCTGAATTAGTTGGAGTGGATGCTGATAATTACCCTAGCCGAAGGCGGGAGTAATTATCAGCATCCGGATTCCAACCGGTCTTAAACATAGTGTTTTAAATACCGGCCAAGGACATATTTATTCCCATTCATACAAACCTTTTCGGTCAAAAATCAAACCTTTTTGATCCAAAAGTCAAAATAAGTCAAACATTTTAAATTTCTAACTTTTTTGTCCTTCAATTTTACTTCATGTTTTTCGAAACATTCCTCTAGCTATATTATGGTATGTCCCTCTCATAAACAACTCCTTATAATGGAGATTGGCGCATTGTAATTTTCGTATTTTCCACTAGAAAACACCGAACGTACTTTTTCCTTGCCTTGTTGCTTGCCTATTTAAGGCTTAATGTACTGCTGTATAAATTATGCCAATGCCACTTAGTACTAAATTGTCAGAATAAAGATTTTTTTTCTATGGTTGTTTTTATTACGTGTAAATACACCGCCACATTTACATTTTGTTGAAAACCGTGGTTTTTGTTCGTATAACCAGTCCAACTAGTTGCCAACAAAAGGGTACCAACATGACTGATGGTAAAATGATCGATATGGTTTAGGCACATTAGGTAAGACCCATGGGTTAATTATTGGTATACATGTTATTAGTGGCAAACCCCGTTCCCAGGGTCTACTGTCAACCTCGAGACAATAGCACAGGGAGCGTACAGCTCGACGCTATGGGGAAGAGGTTGAATAATGCCTGCATGCACTGTCGAGGGAAAAGTATCTTCCCTTAAAGAAATCGACGTCTGAGGATGTTTGCATCGTTCCTATAACACTCTTCCACAGAATAAGCGCACATGCAGACTTTAATTATGTTCGAGGATCAGGACCGTTCTCTTCAAAAGGTGTACGTTTATGCACAACAAAGAACGGTTTTCCCTTTGCCTTGCCGTCCTCAGTATGCATGTAGTACACGTACACCGGAGGTGAAACACAGACACAACTTTTGCAGCTATCCCGTAATGATTTCTATCAGTATTTCCGGAAGTTTGGGTTCAGGAAGAGGTCACAATGTTTGCAGTTCCAATAGACCGGCGTGAATGCGGCACAATTATTTTACATGCGACACTTGTGACGTTTTATTCTGAACAATGTGAAGGTCTATATGACCTTCGCCCTCTATAGCATTGATTCGAATAGTAGGACTAGCCTATCACAAGTTGAAATTTTATGTTCAACACTTCAGCTCAAGCTAGTCTGAGAATCGGGCATTCACGTGTGCAGAGACACACGAACGAACGTCTGTTATCCTGGCATGCAAAGTTACGCGACCCCGCGCGCCAGCCAACCGGAGTCGACTTTAGAAAATGAGACGTCATCTCGAACAGAAATGTGGACTAGGCTGTTGATTGGTCAATTTGGCTGCCATGGTTTTGTAATACAACAACGGTTACGGAAGACCCGATAGAAGACGCCCGCTGGATGGTCAGAATCTTGAGGTCAAGAGGCAGTCGTGTTTTGCATAATTAATCGCCCAATCTGCTCGCATATCCTTCATTGCTGCTCCATCCCTTCGATTAAGCTCAAGCCCCCTCCTCTGGCACAAAAATCTCGGAATTCGACACCAGGATCCACAACTGAACAAGGAACTAATACCGGCAACGCAAGAACGTGGGCGGATAAAGCAACAGGACAACGGAAATATGCTCTCCGATTTCAATGGATTTATTTATGTGTCACGAACTCAGTTCACAATTTTCACTTACGCGGAAGTTCAAAATTGCACTTCAATATAAAAGACCAGGATCTCTCAGTCACCCCGTCTGTTTTGGAGAGTTTTTACTAGCCGAAAAATCAATCGACTTTCCAAGTTATAAAACTGCTCACAAGTGTTTTAATTAAGGAGGAGCTAATAACTTCGGACTGTATTCAAGAAATCAACGGAGTCGACGTCAACCTATACAAAAACGTGAACACTTTTGAGGAAGTGTTTTTGTTGGTACATCAAGTTCAAGCTGACAGCAACAATCCACAAACAAAATGGCCTCATGCTATGCTCGGATTGTAGTCGGTCTTCTCGTACTGTTTCTTATTTCGAATTTGCAGGAAACGAGTGAGTATCGGGGTTTTTTTCTAGATAAAAACATTTTTAATGAGAAATATTTACATTTCAAGTATAATTCAATTTTGTGTTTTCGCAAAAAGACCAACCACTTTTGCAGTAGGTTTCTACAAGTCTTGAAGTTTCATTTGCGAGGTCTCTAATTAAGTGATCTGTGTTGATAGTTGACAAGTTTATAATAATCTGCGCATGCTCATTAATGCCATCCTACAAATCCAGCACGTTACATTCACAGCACTTGGTTTGTTTGCTTAAAAGGTGCCGCCAGAGCAAGAGGCGGTTCGAGGTTCAGGTCGCGGAGCTCTGGGACGACAACCCGTAGAACCGTCTACACGTACACCAGTTACTCGCAAGGAGGTTCGAGCTCTTTTGTTTGTTACGCCCAACTATAGCAATGAACCCAACTATAGTTGGGACAGTCCCAAGTACAGCTAGGCCATCCAATTACTGGTCCCGACTATAGTTGGGACTGTCCCAACTACAGTTGGGACGACGCTATAAGTGCGGCGCAACAGGAGACTTGTTTTACTTGTCTATGGAGTATGGACCTTATTCGCAAGGAAGCCATTTTCTATCGTGTTCCCTGAATCTTTTTTATAAATTGCAATCTGTTGAATGGGATGGTGCCAGACTATTTTATGATTGGTGTGCAGCCAAGACTCACTTTCAATTTTTTTTTAAATGTGGCTTAAAGATATTATTATCACACATTTCAAATTATTCATCAGAGCAGACTGGTATTAATTTGTAATGAACATGTATTTCTACTCTCAAGTTCCAAATATGAAGAGTTTACCTCGCTTTCATATAATAATGGCCGACTCGTGAATAAAGCTATTAAGGTTTTTTTCGCATGATTGTTTTCTCAAAGATTTCGTAGGACCTATGATGAATTTCAGTAATCCATTTGTAATTTTTTGAATAAGGAGTTTCATTTTCTTATTTGAGTTTCAATTTTCTGTTCGATCACATTCTCAGGTCTGGCATACTGGAAGATAATCCTGATCGTTTCCGGAGTTCTCTTCGCCATGGCCCTCTTCTTCACCTGTTTCCGCCTGTGGAGCGCATATTCCAGGCGTCGGGAGAGGGATCTCCGGTCACGTGAGGCCCCTCGATTCGAGAACCCGATCTACCGAGTCCATCGGCCTGAGGGGTTCGAAGATGAAACGCCCCCTGGCGGTGAGGATGGCGTCGGCGACGGTTTATCAGACAAGAACATCGCAGCAGCGCCCCCACCGCCGTACGACGAGGCGGTCAAAGCCGATGAGGGCGCTGTTGACGAGAAGTTGGACTAAAATGAGGGCGTAATCACTCGCCCAGCTTCTATTGAACGATTGCAGGAGCTATACGAAGGAACATATTGACAATATTATATGTCGCAGTAGCCAATAAGCCTCCATGACGTCGCACTTTGTTTACATGTGCACTTTTCTATGGAGCCAGTGGGGGTCCACGGTCCAGTGAGCACCATAGGAAAGCACACACGTAAACAAAGTGTGACGTCATTATTACAGAGGCAAATTTCGGACGAGGCCTGTTAGTCTCGCGACCTTCAAAAGGTCACACATATAGCGGCCATTTTGAATTACAGTACAGTAAAATTTGACAGCATATTGACAGTGTTATATTATTTGTTTTGTAAAGAAGTTTTGCATTTCAATCACTGTCAAATTATGCAGCTAAACCAAGGGACAATATTGTACTTCGTGAAAAAAATATTGTACTTCGATAATCTTCGCTCAGCAAATGTAAGTGCTGGAATAAGGCCAAAAAAAAAATAAGTCGGTCTCTGGTCAGCGCGCGTCGATTTTAATCATGCGCGTCAATCTTTTTTTTTCCAAAATGTTCCGCGGTAGCTCCAACAGCGCCCTCTATTGCCGCCCCTCCTCATTTTTTTTTACCAAAGAGCACCAAGGAATGGGAAATTGCACCAAGGCAAATGATCGAGAGCACCAAGGCAAATTATGGAGGAAAATAGTACCCACCTTGTCTGTACAATCCAAGCTTGAAGAAAAAAAAAAAGCCGCGTCCCCGCGTCAATTCCGGAACTTTGGTCTGACCAGAGACCGATTATTTTTTTTGGGGGGGGGGGGTGCCTAATAATGCTACATTATAACTACGGTATACGCGTTTTTGAACATAAAGCATTATTAAAGTCAACATTGATCATTATAATTAAACGGATCAGAACATTATAATTATTGTACTTTATTTTTTTCGAACCCTGATAAAAAGGTACACGAGGAAGTGCCTACCGAATATGAATACCTAAAACGCAACAAATAACTCAGAAAAAAACCAACACTCGACTTTCTATTGAACAAGTTTTGTTCCTGATCCTCGTCATCAAATGCAGGTGTAAAGGGCGCTCCCGGAAGTTTGAAAAAAAAATGCTTCAGTGTAGGGGAGACCTAATACAGTGACCTAACTTTTACTTCGTTTGCTTAAATTATGAGATTTATCAAGACAAATGATAATGGAAACTGAATCTGTTTACTGCAGTTGTTCATATAAGTCAACGGAGTCGACGTCAACCTATACAAAAACGTGAACACTTTTGAGGAAGTGTTTTGGTTGGTACATCAACTTCAGGCTGACAGCAACATACAATCCACAAACAAAATGGCCTCATGCTATGCTCGGATTGTCGTCGGTCTTCTCGTACTGTTTCTTATTTCGAATTTGCAGGAAACGAGTGAGTATCGGGTTTTTTTTCTAGATAAAAACATTTTTAATGAGAAATATTTACATTTGAAGTATAATACAATTTTGTGTTTTCGCAAAAAGACCGACCACTTTTGCAGTAGGTTACTACAAGACTTGAAGTTTCATTTGCGAAGTCTCATTAAGCGATCTGTGTTGATAGTTGACAAGTTAACGACTCCAATAATCTACGCATGCTCATTAATGCCATCTTACAAATCCAGCACGTTACATTCACAGCACTTGGTTTGTTTGCTTTAAAGGTGTCGCCAGAGCAAGAGGCGGTTCGAGGTTCAGGTTGCGTAGCTCTGGGACGACAACCCGTAGAACCGTCTACACGTACACCAGTTACTCGCAAGAAGGTTCGAGCTATTTTGTTTGTTACGCCCAACTATAGCAATGAACCCAACTGTAGTTGGAACAGTCCCAAGTACAGCTCGGCCAACCAATAAGGTCCCGACTATAGTTGGGGCTGTCCCAACTACAGGGCGAGTCACACAAAAAAGCGGAACCTAAACCCCCAAAATTGTATATCATATTCAAAAAAATATGTAGCACCAAAAATAATAATGACTGGAAAGCCAATTTTAAAAGCTACTTTTAAATAAAAAAAATTACTGAAATTGCTCAATCAGTTCAAAGAATACCACCATTTAAACGCAATGATCCTAAAACCTGTCTCGTCCAAAAAATCAATTTATTGTGTGTTTTGACTGTTTGGAACGACAAAGAAAATGACACAGAATACTTGTTTCAACAACTGTCACCAACTGTAGCACACAATATTTTGATTAACAACCCTGGTTAGGCAAACAATATGATTTATAAAATCTACTACTTTAAAGACGGGCCTTCAAAAGGACTTTGTTGCATATTGCTACCGTTTAAACTAAGATTTCATCGCTGGCGATGTTTGAAGAGAATTGTGACGACGATTGTTAAAATCGCATTTTTTGGACGAGACGGGTTTTAGGGTCATTGTGTTTAAATGGTGATATTTTTTGAAACGATTGACCAATTTCAGTAAATTTTTCAATCAAATGAAGCTTATGAAATTGGCTTTCCAGTCATTGTTATTTTTGGTGCTACTTTTTTTTTTTCAATATGAAATATAATTTTTGGGGTTTGGGTTCCGCTTTTTTTGACTCACCCTGTTCAGTTGGGACGACGCTATAAGTGGGGCGCAACAGGATTTTTTTTTAACACTTTGACTGCTGCGCCCGAATATACTCGGGATAGCTTTACACCCCGGCAGGTGCTATGCTCGAGTATACTCGGGATAGCAGTAAACGTTTTGCTGCCCTCTGTTGAACAACATGAATTAATTGTCAATGGAGTATGGACCTTAGCGTGAAAGTTCATCTGTGTTGGAAGTTAGATATTATTTAGAGGTAAACTTTTTATCACTACACTAGAATATTTCGTACCTGTAATTTTCGACCGAAACTCCGGTCTTCATCAGCAGGATGACCCGGATGTTGTATCCTTGACCTTACGGACACGCGATCCCAACACCGCGTCCTAGACTATATGGATCTTATACAAGAGGAAGCCATTTTCTATCGTGTTCCCTGAATCTATTTTGTAAATTGCAAACTGTTGAATGGGAAGGTGCCAGACTATTTTACGACTGTTGTGCAGCCAAGACTCACTTTCATTTTTTTTTTTATGTGGCTTAAAGCATTATAATCACACATTTCAAATTATTCATCAGAGCAGACTGGTATTAATTTGTAATGAACATGTATTCATTGCTTTAATTTCTACTCTCAAGTTCCAAATATGAAGAGTTTACCTCGCTTTCATATAATAATGGCCGACTCGTGAATAAAGCTATAAAGGTTTTTCGCATGATTATTTTCTCAAAGATTTCGTAGGACCTATGATGAATTTCAGTAATTTTCTTATTTGAGTTTCAATTTTCTGTTCGATCACATTCTCAGGTCTGGGATACTGGAAGATAATCCCGATCGTTTCCGGAGTTGTCTTCGCCGTGGTCCTCTTCGTCACCTGTTTCTGCCTGTTGTGCGTATGTTTCGGGCGTCGGGAGGAGGATCTCCGGTCACGTGAGGCCCCTCGATTCCAGAACCCGGTCTACTACCGAGTCCACCGGCCTGAGGGGTTCGAAGATGAAACGCCCCCTGGCGGTGAGGATGGCGTCGGCGACAAGAACATCGCAGCAGCGCCCCTACCGCCGTACGACGAGGCGGTCAAAGCCGATGAGGGCGCTATTGACGAGAAGTTGGACTAAAATGAGGGCGTCAATCACTCGCCCAGCTTCTATTGAACGATTGCAGGAGCTATACGAAGGAACATAATTGACAATATTATATGTCGCAGTAGCCAATAAGCCTCCGTGACGTCGCACTTTGTTTACATGTGCACTTTTCTATGGAGCCAGTGGGGGTCCACGGCCCAATGAGCACGATAGGAAAGCACACACGTAAACAAAGTGTGACGTCATTAGTACAGAGGCAAATTTCGGACACGGCCTGTTAATAGTCTCGCGACCTTCAAAAGGTCACACACACAGCGGCCATTTTGAATTACAGTATACAGTAAAATTTGACAACATATTGACAGTGTTATATAATTTGTTTTGTAAAGAAGTTTTGCATTTCAATCACTGTCCAATCATGCAGCTAAACCAAGTGACAATATTGTACTTCGATAATCTTCGCTCAGCAAATGTAAGTGCTGGAATAATAATGCTACATTATAACTACGGTATGCGCGTTTTTGAACATAAAGCATTATTAAAGTCAACTTTGATCATTATAATTACACGGATCAGAACATTATAATTATTGTACTTAATTTTTTTCGAACCCTGATAAAAGGTACACGGGGAAGTGCCTACCGAATATGAATACCTAAAACGCAACAAATAACTCAGAAAAAAACCCAACACTCGACTTTCTATTGAACAAGTTTTGTTCCTGATCCTCGTCATCAAATGCAGGTGAAAAGGGCGCTCCCGGAAGTTTGAAAAAAAATGCTTCAGTGTAGGGGAGACCTAATACAGTGACCTAACTTTTACTTCGTTTGCTTAAATTATGAGATTGATCTAGACAAATGATAATGGAAAGTGAATCTGTTTACTGCAGTTGTTCATATAATTTTTAAATACAGAATGAGGAACCAGCTCTATCGGAACACTTGGTGAACACTATTGGACGTATACACGATTAATTACCACTAAAACAAAAGACAGTGGGCCTATATTCCGCCCTTCTACGTTCAACAAAAGCACCGAACACAAAATATTTGAAGTTTGCTCTTAGGTTTTTTTTTTAATTCACTGACAAATTGTTCAACGGAAAAGGATCCATTTAACGATTTTGAGGTAAACAAAATGGCGTCGTCTTTTGCTCTGGGCACCCTCTTCATGTTTACACTTCTTGGGAATCTGCAAGAATCGAGTGAGTATTATTTTTTACATGTATTTTACGCTACAGGCTAGATTTAAAATCTTTGCCGAGGGTGAACCATTTCAATTAAACCAATTGCTTTCCAAATGAGCCCTCACTTTAATTATTGCATACAGTTTTTATTTTGTTGTTAAAGAACACCACCATAATACTCATCGTGGACGAATAAGTAGGCCTGTATAATTTCCAAACTTGCAAGGGTATTTTGAGTTACATCCGGCACGGTACATTCTCAGCACGTTCGTAACTTGGTTTGTTTACTGTTCAGGTACATACAGGCGAGGCGGCTCGCGTGGCGGGGGAGACATCGACATTTCATCTGGTAAGTGGGTACTGAGCACTGATCTCTATCCGGTTCGTTAGTGAAAACGTCATACACGCGCGCGCACCACTGATTACTAGCGCCCATTGGCTACAAACGCTCGAGCTGCGTTAACTTCCGGTTCCAATCATGCAGAAAGTGCTGGAGGTGACGTCACACTAACGAACTGGATAAAGACTGGATAGCGGATATCCATATACCAGTCACACAGTAGAATTTGCATATTGACCAATTCGCCCCCGGTCTCACGAAGATGGCCGCGTATTATATATTACAAACGTTCTACGCGTATATAGCGCGCGCGCTGTATCAAGAGTTGACGCGCATTTTGGTCACGTACACGTATTATGACGTTCTAAAAAGGACAC